GCGATTGAATTTTACCTGATTGATGTCATCGTCGGCATCCATACTGTCAGGAATGTACGGACGGAACACATCTTCGGGACTTGCCACAGTTTTCTTCACACGTTGTACAATCTCTGCAAATAAATCACTCGAGGAAGGTCATGAATCCAAAAATTTAATCAAACTTGAGGAAATTCATATTTCTACTTGTTCGAGAGAACACTTGGTTTGTGCAAAAACAGCGGTGATCATAAATTTTGATCATCAGATGCTATCAGGAAAAATCTTGAGTGATGCTACTCACCGTACGGAGACAAGTTCTCGTTTTTCACTGGAAACACCCCGTTCCTCCATAAAACCTCATGAAGAATGATTGCAAATGAATAAATATCGCCTTTCTGAGTGCCCATCGGCGGCGGATTGGGGTTTCGTAAGAGCTCTGGAGCCGTCCACAACAACTCTGAATAAAAAGTGCTGCGTAAGCCATTGTCACAAAAGAAAAAAGGATTAAACTGAAGGAAAATTTCAGTATACAGAAAAAATATCATAAAAGTGCTAATGAACGTACATCCATCTAGCTCATAACAACTTGTGATGACACAGGGAGGAAAAACTGAGCAACAAAAAGATTGTGTAGCTGGACTTACTTTTGTAGAACGCGTGCTCTCCGATGTCGTCTATGGTGTTCTCTTCCATGGCATGGAGACCGTGCAACCCGAAATCAGTGACCTAAAGATGGTAAGCAATGGCTGAAATTGGAAACAAAAGATGCTGAATAAGCTAATTGTAAGAAATAAACAACACTGCCAGTAATGAAAATTCGGGCTCAAAGGAAACTGGCGATGACAGAGAATTTGAACACGTGAACTTCTCGATCTCGGGAATTAGAAAGAAAACAACGTAAAAACTCCGACTTGAAATAACTGCTCACTTTGAGGACAAATCGACTATCCACAACACAATTCGATGACTTCAAACGACCATGTGACCGAATTTCACTGTTGTGCAAGAAATAGAGACCCTAAATG